AGGAAATAGTATTCAAAGAAAGAGGAAATCGAGTGTTCTATTTCAGATGGCTCTATTTTTCCACGTTAGACGCGTGGGTCTGCAAAAGAACTGTTATTAAAAAAACTACGCGACTTACATTTCTTACGGTACGTCTCCGTATTCTGTAATCTCTACGCTAAATGATGTCAGACATAACCTATAAGTTTTAGCGAGTCCCTACGTATGTAAATTTGTCATGCAAAATTTGAATTTACATTTGTAGTTCAGTCTTCAATTTTAACATCTGAAGAAGTGAGATTCCGTTTGCTCATAGCACGAAAGATAAAACCAATAACTCCTTTAGGTTTCGCTTTGCCGCCATGTTGTTTTTATGCGTCCTGGAGTAGTTACGTAGACCACCAGGCTTACAGACGCCACTGATCCAATCGACTCACCTTGGTGCCGCAGAAGAGCGTGTGGTTTATGTCTTCCTTGGGGTCGTAAAGAACGCCTGAGAGACGTGGAAGGGACGTCTTATTTACCGGCACACTCTCGCCTGCACACACAACAAAGAAGTGGCTCTGTAATCAGATGTACTTGCATCGAACCCCGTTCTCTGTCTTGTTACAGTACTATTGATTGTCTTTATAATTTAACAGCTGTTCATCTGAGTCAGAAACTCCTGCTTTGGAACCCAGTGGTTCATTTATCGCGATCTCCTGAGCCAGCTACATCCAGTTCGTATATAAATATCTTAACCCTTTGAAGCCGAAGCTCGTCTTCATAATATTTACGAATCCAGACCGTACCGCGAAGAAAACACTACACCTCACCATTACAGAGATGAACTGGTTAACGCTGTTTAAGGAAATAATCGCTGTTTGCAGTGTTAATCATATCAAACCCATGATTACAAAATGAAAAGTTGATGATTATTAAAGCAGGTGATACCCGAGTTTACAAGTCACTGGGCTCTAAAGGGTTCTCAGGTGTTTCTACGTTGTTATGCGTAAGGTTATATCTTATAGGGCGATGCGGTGGAGATCTTGAAACCGAAATGGGTTACTTGGAACATAGTCTCATACAGTTGAATCCATTTTACAATTCCACCACCTACTTATCTTAAATCAATTTTAGTATCAATCCATCTATACCTAGTTCTTATTAGTTGTTTTCTCTTCACTTCAGATTTACTGAACAAAACTACTATTCGAATACCCTGTCAATATTAAGTGAGCGCTTCAAATTATGAAGTTCGTGAGATCGTAATTTTTTAATTGCAAACCATCGATTATGACCCTTACGACCGCAGCGAAAGGCGTCTTAACTCTGATAGGACAGCAATGACGTTGTCTGCTATTAATTCCCGGAAAATCATGCGCATTTGCGAGATGAGAACTGATCGTGTGTTGTTCAAACCTCGGTTGCTGGCAGCTACAAATTGAATTCCAGGAAGTAACCAATAGGAATATTCTCGTGGAAAATCCTGTGATACGCGAGGCCACTCGGTTATCTCGTCTGACTGGCTGCGTCGTCGTACGTTTCCCCGGCAACAACGAAACACCAAGGACAGACCTTGAAAGGTGTCTGTGTGACCTCGTGTCACTATTATTTTCGAAAGAGTTTCTTCCTGTTAAAGAACAACTTAAGTAAGAAACCGACTGACTCGATGGTACAAGGTTTTTTGATTAGTCGTTACTCTCTGCTCTGCGAGGGCAGAAATCGAATTGGCCTGTGCCACGAAGCATTTGAGGTTTTCCCCTCAGGTCCTTGGTTACCTGTTAGCATGCTCTCATTGACAATGCAGGTCCCACTTAACAGCAAGGCGTCGCATTCCATGTTGCAGCCGTGGGTGGGGATAGTGATGACGTCACCGGGTACGAGCTTCGTCGTCGGAATCTCCTCATACCTGTCGCCGCCCCTCCACACGGTCACTACGTCGCAGGAGTGAACGGTGTCGTGCAGACTTTGCTGATTCTGGGACGTACAGGGTGATCGTATTATTAGTGAACACAACATAATCGACGTGAGCAGCTCTTCGATACATGCGACTGTACTGAGCCCAACGGAAGAAGTCCCTATAACACTCTCTAGTCATTTCGTCCACAGGACTGCCAACACTTTGCATTGGCTGACGAGTGTGAGGGGAATATTACAGTATTGAGACAGATAAAAGCCTCTAAGACCAGTTAGACTCCTTTCTGCATCCTCAATATAACCATCCACAATGCTATTAACTCGTATATGTATGGCACCGATTTATACATTCGGCTGGTTATAAAAAAATACAGGGTGTTTGTTTTATTATGGAGACATGTGCAGCATTATAATAAAATGGTTACGGGGGTAGAATCTTTTTAATGTTATCACAAGATCACTAGAGTGAAGAAGGCATTTAGGCTACGTCTGTTGCACACATGTTGAAAGCAGTGAGTCGCACTTACCTTTCGTGTCTGTAGGATGGTAGAAAAGACGCCGAAACACGTCATAAGGACGATGGCAATAAGGTAGTAGTAATAGCCTTCCGCGGCCCACACGCACAGTGTGAACAACTGGAAGATGTAGAACGGGTTGATGACTTCCAGGAGAAGCAATTTCCAGAGACTTTGCACCTCCACTGGAATGTCGTTAAAGCCGTAAATGATTTGTCTGCGGAAGGAAACGATGCAAGTTCGATATTATAACGATATTGATAAAACGTGGGCAGGCAGGTTCGTTAAAAGATGATAGGTTGTCCCGTAGATCAAATGGATTCTTAATCCTTACAAATTACTCGCTACATTATAATGTAGTTTTTTTTTTTATCGACGGAACATTTTTGTGACAATACAAAAGTGTTAACACTTGTACCTGAGTGATATGAACAGCT